CTAACATGTGGGCTCAAGGGATGGAACTCAGGTGAGCAGACTTGGTGACCAGCACCTTTTCCCACCGAGACCTCTCTATGGCCCTTGGCTAGTATTTTTGAGGTCTTGTAGTATGGGCAGCCTTACACTTCTTGTTCCTGCATCACATTCTACCGATACAGCATTTTATATCTAAACATAAAGTGTGGTTTATTTTTTATTTTATTTTTTTAAGATTTATTTATTTATTATGCATACAATGTTCTGCCTGCATGTGTCCCTGCAGGCCAGAAGAGGGCACCAGATCTCATTACAGATGGTTGTGAGCCACCATGTGGTTGCTGGGAATTGAACTCAGGACCTCTGGAAGAACAGTCAGTGCTCTTAACCTCTTGAGCCATCTCTCCGGCCCTAAAGTGTGGTTTAGTGCAATTTAAACTGAATATTAAAATATCCTCAAATGATACAGCTTGTGATATAACAACTCTGTTTGACCAGACATACTTCTTAATTTGTCCAAAGGAACCTCCAGAGGTCCTGGCAGCTTCTGCAGGCTGTTCTCCTGCTTTAAGAGACCTGGGTGGCCCCTGCCTACTGCCCACCCTGCTTTCACATTGATTGCAAGCTGCCCCGGAGCATCCACACCTCTGTTCTTTTTGTTTGTTCATTTCGGATAGGGCTTCAGCACTAGCTGATGCTGGGCCTTAAACTTGTGATTCTTCTGGCTCTACCTTCTGAGTACCGGCACGTATCAGCCTATCTGGTTGACTCCTACAGTCTTCAGGCTACACCACCAACAGGAGGCAGGAAGATGAGAGAGAATACACAGGGGTGGAGAGAGGACCCTGCAGCTGGGCTAGAACCCAGCAGGCTCTCTATCTAGCCGGCCTCCCCTCCTGCCCACTGTCTACATATCCTCCAGGAAGACTCTTCAGACAGGACTTGGTCCAGAACGAGCTCAGCAACCTTCTACTGCATAGTTTAGTTAACAGGTTCTGGGCTCCTGTGTGCCAGGAGGTGTTCCAGAACAAACATGGGGAAATGAACCCATGAAAAGTGAGTGGAAGGCACTAAATGTCTGTGTTAGGACACAGGTGGGATATGGGGGGGGGGGTCGTGCAGCTGCAGGGGAGGTGGGGGGTTCCAAACTAGAAGCTAAGAGAGGAATGCACTTCCAAATGTATGACTCAAATGTATGACTCCGGGGAACATGAAGGAAGTGGAACTTTTTCTACAGTGGAGCCAGGTTTAGAACGTCGCAGAACTACAAGAGGTCTGGCAGGGACCAGGAGGGGAGAGATGTGCTGCCTGAAGCTGCCGCTTTTACCAGGACATGCCTGCACACCACCTGCCTTGCCTGCACTCACCGATGCATCCCTCCCATCCTCAGCCTTCAGTGTTTTTCCTGCTAGCCAAAGCTGGAGCCATCCTGCCCCCACAGCCTGAAACCCCAACCAGGGCTTCTCCAGGAGCTGTTGAGTGCAGTGAGCATTGGGCTAATGTTAGTTACAATATGTTGATAATGGTTTTCCCAGGACCAAAAAGGTGGTTCTTTCTGGAATCTCCACAGCATAATGCTCTGGCTTCTAGTCCTCTGTATGAATCCCTTTCAGAGAAATCCTAACGTGAGGGATGTGAGTATTGGGGTTGGCAGATGCCTGTTCCAGGGATTGCAAGACAGAAGGACCTGCTATCAGATGGGAGGCAGGGTCTCTATCTGCAAGGTCATCCAGTCCTTCCTTCTGCAACTTCACATGTGCAGCCAACGTGCAGAACCAAACCAGGGGCTCAGAAACTCAGCAGCACAAAGGCTGATGCCCCCTCTCCTACACTGAAGGAAAACAAACAAACCAAAACAAAAAGCAAGGCTCTGGGTGATGTGCACCGTTGCAGACCCATCAGAAACAAGAATACCCGAAGAGGCCCTGACTCGGATGAGTGGTGGTCTAGGGACCTTTGAAAGCACACAATAGGCTTAGAGACAGACAGGGTGAGGGGTGTATGTGTGTCTGAGATACCACCCCAGGCTCTCGCTGGTGTTTTCCCATCCTCTGTCTTTCCATGTGAGGAATTAGACCCAAGGATGTGGCTTGAGCTGAGGACAAGGCTGCACTGGATACAGGGACACAAAGAAACTGGGGCACAGGCAGGATCCTGTCCTTAAAATGCCAAACTGAAGGCTCCAAGCAGCAAGCAGAGCAAGGTGTGTGTATGTGGGGTAGACAGTGTGGTGTGGGCATGGGTGAGTCAGGGCACATAGTCGGGCGATGGGCTGGTGGAAGCTGGAGTCCCAAGAGAAGCCTTTATTGAACATAACAATGGTGCTGGCACTTGAGCCTTCCCTGGGGACAGTAGAAAGTTCAAGGCTGACTTCTGCCCCCACTGCTTCCCTTACGGTCTGCAGCACAGGATGCAGGAGCGAGGCTTGGGAGTTGGGGTCTGGCAGAAGCAGGGTGTCTTGGCATGCATCTTCCAGTTGGGTTCTTGGGGCCAACAGTCCATTCTTCATTTCTGTGACATGTGCTCTCTGAGGTCAGGATTGATGGAATTAGCGGGAGGTGGAGCCATGGCCAGTTGCTTGCAAGGAACTCAAAGACTATCAGAGTTGTCTAAGGATCCCTCCCAAGAAATCAGCCTGTGGGATCCAGCCAGGGCTTCTTTTCTTTCTGTCTGAGAGATTACTAATGGATTCCTGCTTTCGTCATTCAACTAATATGTTATCAGCGCTTATGTCTCAGGAAGCAGAGGAGGGCTGGAATTTGCAGCTGGCAGCTCTCCCCAGGAGGTACCACATTACTCCACGTGTGTCCTGAAATAGGCCCCAACACAAATTTTTTTTTTAAAACTCAAGTGCTTAAAGACTTCTTTGAAATGTGGGCCAATTATTCAAGGAGAAAAAAAGTATCCAGATCAAATATTTAACTTTGCTCTTGGTATGTTGAGCTCACCTGTCCACGGGAATCTCTCAGGCATATCCTACAAGACTGACTTCATTTGTGTCTCCATTCTTTCTGAGGAGGGTGCAGATTGGGACCTGCCTAATGTCAAGGTTCTGAATCACAGCCTGGACCCGCAGACTGGATCTCTGTTCTCACCCCGAGCCTCTTTGAACTGTAGATTTCCAAGACAATAAACTCCTTTCCCAAAATATTGAAAAACACAGACCCCTCTCCCCCCAATAGCTTGCCCAGAGACATACAGCTTGTGCAGGGTGGAGAGCTGTCAGTAAATTATTAAGGTTTTTGGAGATTATTAGCCATGGTCCCTCCAACAGATTGGGCATGTTGCCATGGCGCGGAGCTGGGGCCCTAGAGCTCCCTCCCTTTTGCTGAAGCAAAAGCCTGCCACTGCGGATAAGAAAATCCCTGGGCGCCTCCAGAGAGTTTCACCTGTAGGATTCTGGCACTTGTCTCTCCTTCCCTACCAGCTCCGCCCGGTCTCCTCCCCTGGGCGGAAGGTGCTCTAGCCCTGGAGGCCTGGAAGGCAGACGCAGGCGTGTTACCCAGGTACAAAGTTTTTAAGCGCGCTGCAAACGTTTTCCGAGCCGTGGGCCTCGGTTTCCCAATCCTATTAACATGCTCCGGATGGAGCGGGTTGAGGTCGGGATAATCTTGCGGAAAGGGGCTGGGCTCTACCATCCGGAGAGACTTTCTGGTCTGGGAGGGGGTGGCGCGCGAGCCACGCAGCCCGGGGCGGGGCGCCCGGCGTCTCCCTGGGTTGCTACAACAGACCCCACACTCGGCGCTACCACGGCCACCGCGAGAGACCGGGACAGGTGCGACAGGGGCGGGTCGCCTGTGAGAGGACCCCTCCCCCACGCTGCCAGCGCCCGCGGTTGCATTACGCCCCGGAGCCCCAGGTCGCCTGCGGCGCAGGACGGGGCGGGGCTGCGCTCTGCACCCCCAAACCTCCTGCCCCGCTGGGCGCGGCGCCGCTTGGTCCTCCCGGACCGACCGGGGTTCGCGATCTCAATTCCTCTCCTGGGCTTGGGCCCGCCCCCGACGCGGGAGCCAGGTGAGACGCACGGGCGGGGAAGGATACTGGGTGGCCTTCGCGCACCTAACCCGGCTCTTGAGGCATGTGTGTGCCTCTGCATTCCAGAAGCAGCGGCGACCGGGTCAGCACGGCCCCGTACCCATAGAGGCTGAGGATGAGAGCTGGAAAAGAGGGATGCGCGCGTGCAGGTGGGGCTCGCGTCTCTTAAGGGACACCCCTCCCCCCAAGACCTTTTGACCCGGCAGGGGCCAGTTACTAGAGCCTTGAAAGCGGCCTGAGTGCAGAGCTCAGTAGTTCTTTGTCCCCTAAGCCTGTGAACCTCTGCTTCTTTCAGCGCTTCTGACTCCTACATCGGGTCAGCGCAGGTGGATCAGCCTCTGTCCCATGCCCCGGATCTCCTGTCCTGTATGTAGATCGCATGTTTCTTGGGGGCCTGGGTCTGCAAAGCCCAGAAGAGGAGCTGCCGTAGGGCCGCCAGGGGGCGCGCTGGGCGGGGACCTGCGCCCTGATCTCTCTGTCCCTTGAGACTCTGCGCTCTCTGAGACTCTGCCCAGTCGCTGGCTTTGCGCACGATTGCCGATTGCCGCGGCAGCAGCTGCCTCCAGGAGGTCGGGGGTCGCACAGAGCCCCCGCCGGGTGCCCGACCCCTGCCCGCCACGCACCGTAGTAGGGGTGTGGGGACCCGGCGGGCGCAGAGGAGCGGCCCCCGCCTCCGTCCGCCGCTGCCCGTGAATTATGCAGGAGGCTGGCACCGGTGTTCGAGTTGCTCAAGTTTCCCTGGCAACTTTCGCCCGGGCATCCCTCCTCCGGCGCAGCGGGCAGCTCCTCCCGCGCGCCCGGGGCCCCAGACGCCTTCCCCGGGCGGCCTGGCAGCGCAGCCCTGGGTTCCCGGTTACCGGGAGGGTTCTGGAAGACGCAGACCCAGATCACGCCCTTGCCCCCTGGACTGGGGCCTCTGAGGAAGCCAGCAGGTGCGACCCAGGTGACATCACAGGGTAAACTTCGTCTTGGGTGAAGAGGGTGCATTGCAGGACCTGTGCGTGCAGGACTTCGTTGCCAGGATGCTGGGGTCGCGCGGGACCTCACCTCCGGTGTCCAAGGGCGTGGGGCATCCGTTGGACCTCATCGCTGGGGTGTGTAGGGTGAGTCGCTCTTAACATCTCTGACCGGTGGTAGAGGGCTAGGGTATCCAGTGAAACTTGTCCTCCCGGAGAGTACCAGGATCGCCTTGAAAGCTGCAACTGGGGCGCAGAGGGGGTGGGCTTCCATGGACCTCCTCACCCATTTGCAGGGGTTGCAACACGAAGCACTCCAGTAGTTTAGCTCCAAGTGGGTGGGGCGCTGAGAGGTTCTGGGGCTTGGTAGGGGATGCCCAGTGGGCGAGAGGTTTATTCTAGAGACTAATTTTTGATGGCTGAGCTTTTAAAGGGGATGCGGGCTGTTCCATCTGAGAGGATACCTTGGGCCCACGGGTGTGGGGGTCTCAGGGGCCTCCCTGATGGTTTACAGATTGCTTGCGGGCACAGTCCTGGAAACCTTCAGAGGACATCTGAAAATAGTGGGTTCCGCGTGGAAATTCGAGGTAGTAAATTAGGTAGGTGTGTGACCTCTTTTTCGAACTGAAGTTTGAACGTTAATGAGGTCAACCAGCTAATTAAGCTGAGCTTTGGCATGCAGAGATAATTTTGGAAGTTTGGGTTGGAGAATGACTTGTGACCTCTAACTGGGATTGAACCCTGGACCTTGCTGACCTGGCTAGGGGAGGTTCAGCAGGTGGGTCTCCATCTGCAGCTTCAGCCTTGACCCAGGTCCCACTTCAGGGCTGGCACCCTACAGGTGGATAGATAGTGTGTGGCGTGTCCACAAGGACCCCTGGAGGTGTCTTGATTGGAAACATTCCAACCACATGTAGGTGACAGCAGGCTGAGGCTGGTGGAGCCTGGAACCTTCCATTGCTGCAGTTGAAGTGAGCTGAGAAAGGTCTTGGACACGGGTGAATGGGGGAAAGCAGTGGTAGCCTGGAGAGGAGGGTGGAACCGGGGGTCACCTACACTTAAAGTGGGTAAGAAGAATAAATCTGATCCTGGCGGTGGTGGTGCAGGCCTATAATCCCAGTACGCAGGAGGCAGAGCCAGGCTGATCTTTGTGAGCTCAAGACCAGCCTGGTCTACAGAGCGAGATCCAGGACAGGCACCAAAATGACACAGAGAAACCCTGTCTCAAAAAACCAAACAAACAAAAAACCAAGAAGAAGAAGAAGAACTCTGGCTTCATAGTGGCTGGAAGTCACAGCTCCCAGGTGTGAAGTGTTTTCAAGGAAACGGAACCCATTGTTTGTACCAGGGACTTTTCCAAGAAGGAGGAACTCAGTGGCCACCTGGCTATCTTTAGGCCCCTGTGTCAGGAGGCTAGCGTGCAGCTGAAGGTGGCTCCTAAGGATCCTGCCCGCAGCCCCTGGTGAACTGGGCAACTGGGGAACCTCTGCCTAGTATCTCAAGTGCCTTTTTAGAAAGCCTTGTTTGTAGTCCAAGTCACTGACTCATTTATTTAACCCACCTCAAGGTTGCATGCACAGCTTCGGTCATGGGAAGGCTACTGGTCCAGGCTTGGGGATTGAGGTGCTATCTAGAACACTGGGTCATCGGGATGGGGCACTGAGATGTGAGGAGTTTCAGCTGGATCCTGTGAAGGAGCTGGGGATAGCATGGGGTTTTATATTCCCTCATGAGGAAGAAAGTGTGACAGAAGAGCATGCTGGGAGTTATCCGATCCGCAGGGAAGCGACCCTAGAGATGGAGCCTTATAAGTTGGGTCTGTGACATAATGTGCTTTGTTTCTGAATACATAAGAGTCCTAAATGATAGGGCTCAAGAGTCTCTATGGGCTCCAGGGAGCAATGGGGGCTTGGACAAAATGTGCTATGTGTGGGACAGAGCTGCTGTGAGGGCCGAGGAACCCTGCAGATGTTACGGATCTCCAAATAAGGTTATGCCCTCTCTGCTGACCCCTTTCCTGATGCTGCAGGATTTGCAGCCTCAATGGTTCCTTAGGGCAGCAGGGAGGTCTGGTCATAGCAGCCTGTTCAAATTTGCATTTCGACCTCATCAAGAAGCTCACCCGTTGCTGTGACCCCCACGGGAAGTAACGTTGAGGAGGCTCATGCATGTTACCCCAAACCTCTTGGTAATTTTGTGACCCTCTTAGTCAGGATAGAAGTGGGGACCCACATACAGGCCTGTCTTCCATCACCTGGGCACTGGTATGTGGATGTGGGAAGAATGTAAACAGATTGGGAGATGGGCTGGGAGCCTGGAATGCCCCTCCCTACTAAACTTGTGGCCTTTGGGCTCGGCACAGAAGCTAACCAGCCCACCCCAAGGAGAGGTCTGTCATCTTCTGTGGGGCAGAGATGAGCTGGACAGAGTTGGCCCTGTTTTCTCTGTATTTCATTAAAGTAAGCTAAACAGATCTTATCTGGGGGTCTGCTGCTGTGTGTCTGGCCTGGAGCTGGATGGAGGCTGCTTCTAGGCTGGTGGGGCTAGAGGATGGTTACATGTGACTACTGGGTGCTGTAGAGCACAGAGAGGCCTCTGACTGTCATGAAGGGGGTGGTACAAACCACCTAGAAGAATAGGATGACTTCCTTCTCTGGATTGGGCAGGGCCTTTGCACAGCTGCTGCTGACCACACACATCACCTAGGACTTGGGTGGACAGTGGCACTCAGCAACTGCAGAGTGGACAGAATAAGCTATTCTGCACCCTGCCCTTTCCAAGGCATCTTTATTATGCTTTTGCGGTTCTGATGTCCCAGCACCCCTGGTGGGAGAGAGGGTGGGCTGACCTCTGTTCCCCTTTCCAGGCCAGTAGCCCGAGGCTCTGGAGTGGTGCCACTTGCCCATGGTTCCCACATGTAGTGAATGAGGAGCTTCACTTGTACCTTAGGCAGCCACAGGGAGCTCAACCCACGTTCCCACACCCTACCAGAGCCAAACACATATCACCCAGCGGGAAGTGCCACCAGAATGTGGCAGAAAATTAGTTGTCTTGTTCCTGTGGTGTGAAATTGAGTTAGTAGGCGAAAGCCGAAGTTTCTGAGCAGGCTACTTGATAGGATGTGCATTTCTATCATGTTGAAAGCGGCTTCTTGGAGCCATTTGACATGGCTCACAGGGTCCACTCTGGGCTCTGGTGGGAACAACGAGGTTTTCTGGGTAACAGGTTGCCTCTGATGGGAACCTTCCTCCTGATAAAGGGGATGTCCCAGTCTTAACCAGGAAGGGACATGATGTGCCCCTCCTGGTACCCAGAGCCTGCTCAGGGTCAGCAATGGGGTCTCTCTGATGCCTGGTCCGGGGGACAGACCAGCTACAGCACATATTTCCTGAGAGATTAAGCTCTTAAAAGCCTTCGGGAGAAGTGGGGTCCATGGGTTGTAGCAGTAAGCAGAGAGCTCCGTGATTGGCTGCCAGATGTCTCCTCTGAGTAGAGGACTAGCACAGATGGATGGGAATGTTGTCTGAAAACTGCAGCGCTTGGGTGTGCTTGCCCCAGCCCAGTCCCTGGGCTCAGTGGGGCCGTGGGGTTGACAGGCACAGACTCTCAGGCTGTGTCTGTGGGTTCCACATGATAGACTGCAGGGGTGCTGGGTCTGTGGATTCCAGATAGGCTGCAGAGATGCAGGAGGACTCCTGTCCCATTTCTGCGGCTGAACACCCTGGGAGTCTGCCTACAGGAGTTCCACGAATCCACTTTGAGAAACTTCAAGTTTTTAGTAGAGATAACAGTTGGAGCAAGTCCTGAGATGCTTAGCTTAGAAGCCTCCTCCTGGGAGACTCCCCTCCCCGCCAGATGCATCCATTAGGGATATAATTTTGCACACTTACAGTGGCCCTGCTGAGCTGGAGCCAGGTCTCTCTAAAAAGCATTCCCCTCTTCTCTCCTTTCCTCTCTAAAAGCATCACTTTTAAAACCTAGATATTGTGTCTACCCGTTTCCTGAGTATTTTCTCTGACGCATTCTTATACCTGGCAAAGTTAGAGCAGATTGCATGGTAAACCTGTTATGCTCTTCACATTCTGCTGTTAACCTTTGGTTAGATTTCTCATACATTTGTGAGTCTATCTAAATCTTCATAGGTTTACACGTTTTTAGTGGATGCTCGCTTGTCTTTGGTGTTGTGGTTATTGATCATTGGAAAGGATTGTTGGCTAACTCTTTTATAGCACCCGAGCAGTGTAAACGACCATAGACCACCATGGCTCCACTAAGACAAATGAATAAGTTTAATGAAGTTATTGGTGTTCCTTAAAAATTTGGAGGGTGCTGGGGATTTGTACTTAGGTCCTTGATGGTGCTGAGCAAGTGTTTCACTGATCTATGTCCCTAACCCCTCACTCAGAGATTCCAGACAGGTGCTCTCCCACTGAGCCACATCCTAATCCCCTTACTAGGGGATTCTAGGTAGGTGCTCTACCACTGAGCCATGCCCCAGCCCCTCACTGGGGATTATAGGCAATCACTCTCCCATTGAGCCATGTCCCCCAGCCCTGTTCCCTTTATTCTTTATGTGGCTATTTCCTCCTAAGAATTTTCATCTAATGTAATATGTTTTATGCTCCTGGGTCTTTTATTAATTAACCTAGCAGCTCCTCAGCAAGAAAAAAAGTATATAAATGGATGTTTTAAAGATTTTCTGTGACCTTAGTCACAGTCTGTGAAAGTCACTTGTGGATCGAGACAGCAGGACAGTGTCTGCTGATCACGGCAGACCAGGTGCTATTAAGACATGACAGATACTTAGACATGGAGAGGGAAAAAGTGTGAGTGGAAATGCGCTCTCCTGAGAAGGTTGTGGGCAGCTTGGTGTTTTGATGAGGGCCATCACTGAATCAGCCCTTTGGTATCCAGAGGTCACCACCTGGGTATGACCCTTCCCCAATGGGTCAGGAATGTCTTTCATTTGTAAGATTGTGGGGCCCTTTGGGAAAGGGTTATGGGAAAGAGCTACTCCCCCCCAAAGGCCTTTCTCTACGTGAGCTATTTCTTTTCTTTCCTTTCCTTTCCTTTCCTTTCCTTTCCTTTCCTTTCCTTTCCTTTCCTTTCCTTTCCTTTCCTTTCCTTTCCTTTCCTTTCCTTTCCTT